AGGGAGTGGATTGGGTGCAGGAAATCATACCCGTGAGGTCCTTTACTTCCATCCCCTTTCCATTATACAATGTGAAGGACTGGGATCAAAGCAGAGACTCACAATATCAGTACTGGACACGAGAACGCTCCTGTCCGTCCCGGAGGCAGAGCTCCAGCTATTCCCACCGCACGGGACGCACACAACCCGAGCGCGTGGGGAGCGTCGGGCCGGCGGTAAACGGTCCCTGCACGCGACGTCGTTACGCCGGCAATCAGCAGTGTCCGATGAGTGCGGCGTCATGCGGCGGCGCGAGGTGTCGGACCGCGGGGTGGTCACGTCGGTGCGGTCACGTCGGGTGTCACGCCACTGTCTCCTCACGCTCTGCGCGCCACAGACTATCACGGTGGACAGGGGGGCGGGCGTCAAGCGGCGAGAACGCCGATGGTGTGGTGCTGCGTAGAGGATGGGGAGGGGGAGAGGGAGCGAGACAGAGGGATTCAGAAGATGGGGAGGGGAAGAGCGGTACAGATGGTGATTCAGCCCCAGTGACCTCATCACCGGTGTTTACTCAAGCCATGGGGTTTGGGTAGCGCCCCTCATGTTGACATAGGTGCTGTCGCATGAGGCTGAGGGACTCGCTCCTCTCATCATCCCCCATCCCCTACCATCCCATCATCATATATAACGGAACAGGCATAGACCGCAGGGCTCCCAAAACTAGGCGTAAATGACGCTCTCGCATGAGGAAAGATTCGTTCAGAGGTAGATTTGCTGTTTAAAATAACGAGTCACACCGAAACCCCCTGAGCCGTCAGTAAGCTTACACTCATTTGTCTCGTTGGAATCTTTGATAAACCCTGTTTCACATGCCATTTAAATTAACAGCAATGTTTGAGAAATTAAGCTGAGATCGGAAAGAATCGTAAGTCACAAAGGTTACGGACATGTGGCGTCAGAGGGAAAGGCATGTCCATCTTATATCCATACTTAAGAAACCGGAATGAAAGGCCTCTTGCCTTGCCTGGCATGCTTTTACGCAATACATTGTCCGGTTTGACACGAACATGGCATTGAGAGCAAATCAAGGACTACGGGGCTACATTACGTCACTACATTACGTCACTTCATTAAAGCATAACGTTAATGCAGAGTTACATGCGTCGCACTTTTATCAAAACGTCAGCGAACCACCATGTCCTAGTTACTCTATGAGGAATAAGGCTATAAGTGCTGTTTTATAGTTACCGTGTCCGCCTATCACACCGCAAACCTAAGTAGGCTTATTACGTGGTTGTAGCTAAACTGTCACATGTCCATCAACCTCAGGGGTTGTCAACTGTCACAATAATGGTCACATGTCAATCTCAGGTACAACGTAAATCACTTGCGATAAAACCTGGGAATCAAGATTACCAACTGAGGGCGATTACCAAATGCGCTCGCAACTGGTCTCATCCCGTCCAATGATGCATATCTGCCATTTGATGATTCGAAAATTGACACCGACTCGTCTTATGAATTTGAATCGATATATCGGCGCAAATGGTTCTGCGCTGGTCCAGCTTGATGAAAACTAAGTAAGGTTTGTCGAAGTTTAAATAACATCCTTTTAAATCAGAGGCAGCGGGACCAGTCATTATTCTTGAGAGAACGGCGTTTTAATGAAAAACACTGAATTCAAGAGTTGTTTAGCAACACACGAAACCAACTGCACGAATCGAGACCCAGGTTTGCTTTCCTCGCAGGGTTTGAACTATTCGAGGATCCCCAGCTATGGACACAAGCGGTCTTGGGCATGGCAAACTGAAATGTAAAAACGGGCCCCAATATGCACCACTGAACTCTTTTACGTCCTCGTTAGCCAAGCTGTCAGCGCCATCGTTTGACAAGCTGCCAGCGCCATCGCTTGCCAAGCTGTCAATACCATCGTTTGCCAAGCTGTCAATGCCATCGTTTGCCAAACTGTCAATGCCATCGTTTGCCAAACTGTCAATGCCATCGTTCCTTACAGACAAAAGTCATGCAGACGTTAAGGATGCTAGTTCAACACAATATCTCTCATATCTTATCGAGACGTTTTTTCCTTTGGTCACGGGTTTCGTCAAACAATAAAAATGCTAAATGAGCTGCCTAACATGCCTGCAACTCTTGAGTTAGTGCTCCCTGTGGCGTGGGCTTCCATGGACGGTGGTCTTGGCAGGTGGATTGTATCAACGGGGAATATTGCCCGGTGCTTGTGATACTTGTAATAAGTGGATTGACCACACAACAAAAATATCCAAGATAAAACATTGCCAAACGTCACTCCAAGCCCAACAGCGTAATCAATCACCAGTGCCACGTTGTGTTTGCTATTTGCATTGCCCACGAAATCCTAATGCGTTACCCTTGACCCAATCCTTGTATCTGGATCTGGCGTATCGTGACAGCGGGCTCTTAAACAGCAGTTCGTTCCATTACCCTTGTCGCTCATCCCTCGTCCCATTCATTACCCACCCCCATCTCCCTCTGTGCTTGGACATCTTCTTCTCCATTGTTTCTCACCAAGACCGATACAGTTAAAGTCACGCTGCATTATGTTGTGGATACTGTGCATGCTTGCGCTTCTGAAAAACTTGTTATGAATACAAATGCAAAATGCAGTACCAGATGCGAATTACGTACCAAACAGAAAGTGCAAACGCAGTACCAAATTGGAATGTTGATGCTTGCCAGGACCTAAGTGGGCAGAACTAAGTGGCCGGGTGTTGTTAAGCCTCATGAGAACCGAAGCACAAGCTATTGTCATGTGTACAACAATGACCAATACAGTCAGCAATGCTGCCACGACATGCAAGCGAATGCATAGGTAATGCGACTGGCCACGTCACACAATTGTCCGTCATTATGAAGCATGAACCTGAATTTTGCGTAACCACATAACAATTCGGGGCTGTATCCAAAGCTGGGTGCTTCAGCACAGTAATAACTCGCAGCAATGCCATTCAGCCTGGCTAAAGTGGTTGGCTGCAACAAACACTTATGAAGCCGACGAATGCCTTTCGCCTCGTTTGCCTTCGGGGCAGCGCTGCATCGCGTACTGATTCCCCCAGCGTGTCATCCTGAATTTGATCGCCCTGCTGCAGCGGCTGCTCCTCGTCGCGCGGAGATACCGTCAGAATTGTTTGGAGCCTCATCATTCAGAGCAGCACCCAACGTTACTAGTCGGAATGCTCAGTGCAATGCGCAACAGCCAAGTGCACTTGAAGAAATAAGTGAGGCTGATCTTAAGCATAATCTTCCCAGTTTGGGGGAGGGTGGAAAGGGGGAGGGGAAGGGCGGATTCTTTTCGAAGGATAAGAAACAAGATTATTTGGTAAGTTTATTCTGTTTTAAACGTTTGTCATGGTTCGTTTGCGTTCGTCAGGGCCTGTGATTGCGCTGCTCTTTTGCAGTAGGATATTAACGGCAGTGGGCGACAGAGCACAGATACATGACAGCAAGGACCACAAAAATCTCAATTGGCCATGACTTTGCCTTCCACACGCCCGAAATCGAAAAGCCCTCGACATGTCGCAAACGCCACTGACATGTCTGCCAGCTAATAGTTCAGCCAGCAGGACCGCCCCAATGTAACGGCCTGCGTTTGCTGGTATACTTCTGCGTTGTTTTATGTAAAGGAACATTGAGCGTTACCTTTTACAATAAGCCAGTTCAGTATCAGAGACCGCATGCATAGGGATTACTTCTCGAAGGAAGGATATAACGAACAATCTAAGACGCGAATCCAAGAGTCTAGCTGCATGCAGGACTAAGCTTTAAGAAAAAATGCAGCACCGTTTTGTTTCCTTTGAACGTCTCGTTCCTTGCAACCACCCTCAGCGCTGGATACTAAAATCCTGGGTGCGGCAAACGTGCGCCGATACATCTACACAAAACATTGGGCAATGTACGTAATATTTGTAAACTGAGACACGAACGGCCAGAAACATAATACACATGATGCACGTACGCCGCGAGGATAATACAAATAAACTTAGGCGAACATAACGTAGCTGTACAATCGAAAAGGTAACGAAGAAAAATGCATGGCAACCCCAGCCATCAGAGCTTAAGTGTCTTCATTGCTTTCATCACAGTCCCATCGTACATCATTGGCATTAGGACAACCATTCAGTTCAGCTTAGCGTCCTGCGACTACCGATTGCTAAGAAATTCCTGAACGACCGATGAACACTCCAGCATCCATGATCCCGAAAAAATGCAACATGCACGATCCCTGACCTATCCAACATTTATGATATCTGAATCATCCAGAGATCACCAACACTGCCTTGTCCCAATTTCTACATCTTCGTCTATTCCCAACTGTTGCCACAGGCAAACCAATTTTTCTCTGATTCATCCCTTATCATGACGGATACAGTAAACGCCACGTCGCGGTCGTCTGTGAACGCACGCATATTCGTATTCTACCAATACAGATATAAATATCTTGCTGTCCACACAATTCGAAAACACTTCGCTGACTTCACGTTCTCTCCGAATCTGCCTGCACATCAATGGTTACTATGCGGCGAGTTTAACGAGACCTCAAAAGGCTTGATACATAACAGGGTCAAATGAGCCTCCGTCCGGCGCGTGACCCAAAAGTCTAACCTCAAAGCAGGCGACCGTTCTCCCGAGCGGTGGCCCAGTCAACAAGCGCCCGCCCTCCAGTCTGGCCGTGGGAGTCTCGGCGGTCGCGGATCCGACCCTAAACAGATTCTTTACTACGTATTGATCGCTGCGAGAGGGCAGCCGTCCAGCTGTGGAGAGTCTGGCGGCGCGGAGAGCGAGGGACGCACCGTCGCCGGGCTGAGGCCGACCCGGGCCGCTCGCGCTGCGGAGTGGCCTCAGGGCTCCAGCCGGCCGGCGCGGCTCCACCGGCAGTTCGGCCAGGCTCCAGCGGCCTGACGCCCTCTCAGTCCGTGCACAGGAGGCGGGATGACCGGTGGCCCGGAGGCTGCGTGACCGGTGCGGATCGGAGCATAGCTTACCTGCCGCCAGGCCCGGCTGCAGGAGGCACAGCCAGCCGCAGACAACCAGCGCTCGCCGGCACACCGCATCCATACTAGCACCCACGCAGGTCAGCACCGGAACGCCGCACGGACCCCACCGACCGTCATCGTCTCCTCTGACGCACTACCATCGGTATCGACTCCTCCAGGCGTCAACGATCGAACTGCTCCGACGATGCAGGCCTCCGATCGCACCGCCATCTAGGAAGTCCGCTTCGTAGCATTGGTTTGAGACATGAACGTCCCATCCCGGTGTCAAATGGGGTCAAGTGGGTGCTTGCGAGGCAACACTCTGGCAACATTTGTATGCTGTTTTATCAGAGCCTCTAAAACCAATTAGATCAAGTATGCATTAGGATTTTCACTTCTATTTCAGCTGCAGCCTAGATCCCTATTGACCATGCCCTAGATTTGAGAACTTGATCATTCCTTTAGCTGCTGTGCAATTGGCCGGTATATCGTATGAAACATGGACTTGTCATGGCTGTTAGCTTCAGTCGTTGACTTCCGGCTACCAGGCATCATTACACAATCCGGGTATAGTGGGTGGCTCTGAGATTGCACAGTATCGACATTTTGAATTATTAATAGGACAAAACATGCGCCTGGATCTCAGGGGTAGATCCAGGATCCCAAAGGGCCCCATACTCATGAGATCCTGGGATGAGATCCCAGAATTCTGGGGCTTCAGAGGGTGGGGGATGCAGGCACATTATTGGCAAAGGTCAGTGCCGCAGTCAAGGGGTTGTGTGGGGCCCGTAACGTGATGCCCCCGCCACAGGTCACTTCATCAAGGTTAAAATATTTGTTGTTCTTGGTAGACTTGATAATTTGTTGTAATATCTCGGGGACGTATTTATCTGCACGCAAAACAGCACATTGACTTTTTGTGTTCATGAGCACCGTCCTCCTGATAAAAAGGACGCCGACCTCCAAAATGAGCATCATGTAAAACGCAGTGCTAAAGCTCAAAGGAGGGCAGGATATGGTCGGCTGTATGAGTCCTATCAATGCCTACCACATAGCATCAGGGTGCTGTAAACCTCCATAGTTACCAATGCACTGGTGGCCAACTACAATATGAAAAAAGGGAGTTTTCACGAAATACCGTCGCGTTAGGTGTTAAAATACTAAGGAATATTTTACAAAATGCTAGGATTCGATCATTTCCAACGCGAATGAATATTTGATCGGGCAGTGCCAGGACATTCGGAATGGAAGTGTGATCAAGTCACGTTACGTTCCTGGAGGAGGCATGTCCAAGATGGCTATCGCCGTTGGACAATGCGCCTTCAGCATATTGTAAATTCCGGGCGGTGGTCTACCTACGACCTAGTCCTCGCCCAGCTCGTACATACTCACTCGCATCCGTTGGCACCGGCTTCACCGATGGCGTGGGAAAGAACATTAGCCAAAATTCAGAAACGGTTAGGCGACACACGGATAAACGCCATACTTCGGCTGTCGGTGCTCGGCCGGCTGCTCGGCCGGCAGAGGGCACCGGCGTCACTCAACGACACGAGCAGACACGAACGCAACGGCGACTGGACTTATGAACGACGTTTCTAAGTGAAGAATGGATGCTCGAATCGCGAAGTCAGGTGTTAGAAAGCACATATCAGCTGGCCAGTGTGCATGTTTGCGCACTTTAACGAGCGCCGCCTAAGCGCTCGCGTTCTCCTCCTCCTGCCCCAGGCGCTCCATACGAGGGACGCGGCCGCCGAGGCCAGGAGAGTTGACGGTTACAAAGGCAGAGGAGTCTGAGAGCCGCCGGCGCGAGAACAAACGTGCCTGCGGGACTGACTGCACTGTGACTAGTGCCCAATACAAGAGTGACTTCGGACGTACCGTGTGTGCCAGTGAACCGGAGGCGAGGTAGACGAACAGCAGAACTTACATAGACTGTGCAGCGCTTGTTGACCACTTTCATATATAGAGAGTTGCACTGGAGCTCTCCGGAGGCCGAAAGAGCAGCGTGTCCCCAAATTTCGAAGGTGTATGCCAATGCGTGCTATGCATACGATGGTGCAGTCATGAAGGTATTTTGTGACTTGATAAAACAAGAAAATGCGCTGATACTAAGTGATCCTCGAGCACGTTTCAATTAGGAGATTTCAAAGTCCTAGAGCAAGCTCCAAACTATCCCAGCACTAGTTCCCCATGACCCATTCCCCACACATCGCTACACCAGCACACGACCTCATGCTCAACACCTCGAGTCATCACGCCCGTCAAGCCTGGCTCCGTCGCCGCCCAGCCAGCCGCCATCCTCGCCTCGGCAGCGCTGCTTCCCATCCCTGCCGCGCCGTCCCCCCGCCCTGCTCCGCCCCCCACGCCGGCCGGGTCGTGACGCGGCGGCGCGGCGGTCAGCTGACCTGCCCGGGGGCGCTCGGCCGGCGGGTGGAGACGACGCGCGGCCGCGGCCGCCGCCGCGCGCGCCGCTATTTTTACGGCGGCGACGCCGAGTGGGCGGCGTCCCGGCGCGACGACGGCCGACGGGGCCGACGGGAGGCCTCGGCGCCGACGAGACGTCGCCGCCGCTCATCGCCGATGTTTTGAGGCTAGGTGGAGTACGCCGGATACCTATCTATATGCTTCTCAGCACGGCTGTAGTTGAAGTGGGAGAAACGGCCCGTGCTGAGGCACACCTACTTGTACATTCGTAACAAGCTGGTTTCTTTTATCGGCGAGACAGAAAGCCAAGGCACCCAGAATCTTGACCTACTTTCGCTTGAACTCAGGGGTTGAACAGTTTGTGTCCAAGATGGAAGTGGTGGCATCTTAATAGGGCTGTCCAAGGCAACACAGCCCTGATAATATAGGTTCCGTCAATTAGTCAATCTAAGAGTCAGTCAGTCTAATCAGCCTAAATTTTCGTACGATGAAAGGGTCAGTAAAGCATGACGCCCTAAAGGAACAAAAGTGTGATCCTGTACCAGGAGCAATAAGCGTTATATTGTACAGGATGTATACCTTCTAGCCAGCTTCGCGTTGGAAACAAGATATCGGAAACACTTCTAAGAGCCAATCAAATAATTCAAACGCTAACCTAGAGCATGGAAAACATACGTTAACACGCGCTCGGGCGGAAGGATCAAATTGACCCCCCAAAGGTTTTTCCAGAATGGCTTCCGAACGACCCGGCGTAGCCACGCCAAATGTTGCATAGCCTTAGATAATTTGATAAAGGATAATTTAAAATAAAAATATAGATGTTCCCCATAAGATCGCTGATCTATGCTAGGTCAAAGTCAGGCCATGGTTTCAGGGAAGTCCATTTCTAGGAAATCGTTCAATATGATACAACAACGAAGTGTTGGACGGAGCCATACATCTCTGAGATGCTTTCTTGGGCAACACAAATATTGAATGAACAAGTAACGTTGAACTAAGGTCAGGTATGAAGGCCAGACCAAGATCAAAACCAACCTGTTTTTTCATTCTAGGGCTTGCTGTATGGAATAGTTTCTGGTGCTCATTTCGAATTTATGATAGCAGGAACCGCATTATGCATCTTTCATGAACTCTTTAGAGGTCATAATGGCTAATTGACCTAAAATGGCCCAGGTCGACCTTTTGCTTTTAGGAACATACTACTTAGCGTAATCTTTGTCGCTTATTCAAGTGCAAAACTTAGAGTAGTCTTGTACGATTTTGGTGACCATGACCTTCAAAACGTCAAAAATGGTCACTGAACTTACATGAGCATGCGGCCTTTTGCTTAGAAATAGTTATTTAGGTTCTGGAGGCACTGTGGAGACCATTATGGAGTTTGACCTTGTTTGATCTTATTTGATCCGAATATCATGACCTAGGAACCTTAAACTTTAATCTAAGTGAATCCACGTACACGTCATTACACCGTGTAAATTTGGTGCGTAACTTTCTTAGATTCTGAAATCTCGAGGGAGGGTTAAATTGACCCCCGAGCGAAAGATATCCAGCCGGTCACCCGGGCGCGTGTTAACCTATGAATTATAATCTTCAATATCGTTTTGACGTCTTAAGAAGGACGGGGCCGTGCACCGAAATCGCTTACGGAAAACTATGAAATTCGATTTCGAACACTGCATTTAAAGACAACGCCGTAACCGTGATACGACACAACGTAGCAATTCTCAACTTATGGTAACACAATTAGTAACATCAGAGTGTACAGCTGATATAAAAAAGCGATGGATAGTGATTTCTCATGGCCGATTGATTAAACCGCTCAAGAACTCCTTCTGCACTAGCATTGCCGCAGTATGTTGTGAGACAGTGCAGTCATAGCTGTGATCCGGCCGCTGGACAAGAATGTTCTCGCCTTTCTCCATATATTCGACGTCTTGGGTTTGAACCGAACCGATGTACTCACTGGCCTTAAGCTCGCTGTGCCAGCCACTTATGCATTTAGATCTGCGCTCTTACCACGGAAACTTTTATCATAGCCAGCAAATGTTTTGTTGTGCAAATACAGCTTCCAAAACGCAACATTTTGTTTTATGATGAAATGCACTTAATATCCAATTGTGTTTTATCGCTTTCAGAGTTATATTGCGATTGCTTCTGATAAATTATCTTTCAAATAAGGATTTAGGCTGTTCCAAATTTCATTGGTGACAGGAAAGACTCTTTTTCACCAATAAGGCTCATCGCCCGTCTCACCACAGCAACGTAAGGAATACCGTCGACATTTTAAAGTTATATGGGTCGGTAGGATGGAACCAAGCCTCCTGTACGTTGACAATAATTTGAGCTAATCCGCAAAAACTGCTTGCATTTCAGACCATGTTCATAAAACGCCGCGACAATTCCACATGTAAGACAAAATGTACTTAATGGTGAATGGACTTAACAGCACCGGTTGGTGCCGGAATGGGCCGAACGGGACAAACCAAGGCCGTCTCATTGCCACCCTCACTAGCGGGCGGGACCGGCGGTGTTCGTTCTGGCGTGTTACGGTAGGTGTTGTGGTGGGCGGCGGGGGGGGGGGGGGGAGCCATCCTTGTGGTGTTTGGGGGGACCCGGCTGCCTACCGTCCGTGGCCGGAGAGCTGGAACGCCGGCCAGCCTGGAGATGGATGGACGCGGAGGGCTGTGAGTCAGAATGCCTGGCCAGGGGCGGC